CCCATCGGCTTAAAAGGACACACTTGAGAAAGGTCTTCTCCAAGCGAGAGAGAACCCAGTGGTAGCGGAGCATGCCGGGTGCACCCTGTGTGTGGCTGGAGCGTTTGCACACTCGCGCTCCTGGGACGGCGTAACCACTTATTGTGCAGTGATTGTGCCCTTCCTCCTGTGCCGGGGGGGTGCCCCAAGATGGCCACGGGATCCCGAGACAGGAATCCCCTTGTCTCTTACCTCTGCCCCTCGTGATGGGTGACCTCGCCGTGCCACGTAGCCACTGTAGAATGAGCCCTTGCTTCCAACGCTAGAAGGAGGTGACGCCCTGCTGGTCCCATTGCAAGCGAATGCATTGCTCAGAACGTGCGTCCGCACTGTTTAATAGCCTGCACGTTCCACCAGGTGCCAGGGATTTGAGGACCAGGGACCCGCGTCAGTGGCTGCTCATTGACATCTCTATTTTACACTTCCCAGCCTGGCCCCGAGACAAACCCGGGCATCAGCACTTTAGTGAGCGTCCAGGTCTTTTAGCTGCGATGGCTGAACCACAGATCACCCCCAACACACTTTAAAGCACGCACTTGTGCGCGTGGGCCTGTGGGTAGGGGGTTTGGGGGGGCCTGGGGGGAGGCTGCCTCTATCCTGCAATGTCTGGGGGTTAGCCGGAGAGCTTGACGGTGGAGCCTGGAGTCTGCCGAAGGCTCCGGACCTCCCGTGGCTGGCTCCTGCCTGGGGCCTTCACTGGCTTCTCCACCAGACACCCACACACCGCCTGTCCACGTGGCTTGAGCTTCCTCACAACATGGAGGCCAGGTTGCAGGGAAAGCAATCTGAGAAGATACGTCACTTAGTATGATTTGGCTCTGGAAGTCAGGCTTGTCATTTTTACTGGGTTCCATTTATTGAAGGGCCCTCAAAGGCACACCCAGGTTCAAGGGAGAGAAGTGACAAACAGTCTCTTGATGGCAGAGAGGCAAGGTCTACGAAGGCCACACGTACCCTCGGCCATACCTGGGCCCAACGAGGAGGTGGAGAGGGAAGTTTTGCCTCACGCTTCAAGATTCAGGGTAACAGGCAGGACCCCTGCCGCTCTGTCCGGCTTGTAACCCTGACCCGGTCCCGCCCTGTCCTCTGAGGACAGCGCAGTTTTTCATTGGGTGGACAGAAATAGGTTAAGTCTGCCCTCTCTTCAGCTGTCACCTCTAAGTTTAGGTTATACGCTAAATCTATTCCCAGTATTCCAAGAGAGAGCCGTTTGGTAAAGCCAGGAGCTCCTCAGGTAACGCTCACCTGGTCGGCCTCGGGATGCTCTCACTCAGGGGCAGAACGGGCCAGGCCAGCAAGCAGCAGTTCATGCAGGCGGCTGGAGACATCCTCCAAGTTAGAGAGACGGCCCGGGAGCGAGCCGGTCGGACGCTTGGCCTCTGGCCGTGGGACCGTGAGCCCTCGGGGTGGGCTTCCTTGGACCTCTGTGTCTTTTTAATCTTTAATATGGTTTTTAAAAAATTTCAGGTTATTTTTTCCATACTTTCTCATTATGATTTGAATTACTGTTTTACTAACTTATTTTCTTTATTATGTTTTAAAGATGTGGAAAATACAACGAAGTGTAGAGAAAAAAATAAAAATTTGCTATACTACTGCCCCTCAAAATAACAATTGTTCATATTTTAGTGCTTTGCCTGTTTGAGCATTTCCTCATCATTAAATAATCTCATATTAAAAATTATTTTAAAGGGCCTGGCCAGTGTGGCTCAGTTTGTTGGAGTGTCATCCTGTACACCAAAAGGTTGCAGGTTCGATTCCCAGTCAGGCCACATGCGCATGGTGCAAGCTGGGTCCCTGGTCAGAGCACAGGCAATAGATTGATGTTTCTCTCTCTCCTCTCTTCCTTTCTCGGTGAAAGCAATGCAAAAATGTCCTCAGGTGGGGATAAAAAATGACTGTTATGGCTAAATATGAATCAAATATACAGGATTTATTTCAACCATTTTCTTTATTGTTGGACATTTAAGTTCTTTCCTGTTTCTAATACTTTTAATATAATCACTTTTGTACTATTAAAATATTATATTTTCATTTAATGTATATGATAAACATTTTTTTCATACTTAAAAGCTAAATAGAAATTATATAAATTTAAACATATACATTTTATTTTTGAGCAATTCCAGGAAATGGAATTATTGGATCATAGGATATAAACAATTTAAAGTTTAAAATTCAGACCACATACTCTGAAATTGCTTTTTAAACTCACACAATCTGTACATAATTTTAAAAGAAAAATAGGCAGGGATTATATGTTTGGGGAGGAATGTAAAGCCGTAGTTTGAATGATTTCATTCAGTTTCAATTTACGTTGTTTTAGCCTTGAAATGAGGAACGAGTCATTGGATTCCGTTTAAGAGGGTTCTGAACTCCGGGCCCTGCGCTGATTCCCTGTGTTTTCTGCCTTGACGTGTGTGATCAGTCTTACGTGTTTTCCCACTAGTCCTGTGTCTTCTCCTTCGTGTGTGACTTGCGGTTTTGTTGCGTCCATGGATTTCCTCCAGATGTCCTTTCTTTGAGTGTCTCCTGTCTCCCGAGCACGACCGTGGCACTGCCCCTCGCGCACTGCCTCGGCCGCTGTGCAACTTGTCTGCCCTGTCGTGCCACGGCTTTGAAGGATAAAGTGATTACTTCTCGGGTCAGTGAAATATACATGCATGTGTGAGTTTTAGGTGCGTGCTGCCTTCTCACCGTCGCTGCTGTGGCCAGTGAAGAGCAGACCTTCATGTGTGCTTCCCATGGCTACTTGTTTATTCTGTCCCTCTGTCCCCAAAATTGTATGTTGTCATGAGGTTTCTTTTCTTTTGTATATACATTACTTGCAGTATATGAGACGTCTCCAGTATTTACAATATTTACGCACAGTTCCCATTAGCACTGTTTTATTCTAATAGGGTGGGCCATTTGGATATAAACTTGAAAGCATTCCGGAGTTACTGGAGTGAATGTTATATTATATATCTGGATCTAATGGTTATTCATAGACTCTTAATTATAATATTATATAACTCATGATCTCAAAGGAGTTTTCGACAGTAAATATCACCACACCTGGGCATTTTGTTGTAACTGTTGGGTAGCGATTATAGCTTTTGTAGTAACTCTGTGGTATAATTTGAATATACATCTCAATTACTTTCCTTATGCAAAATTCTTTTTCGTGTACCTTCTAAGACCCTACTATTAGTTGGGAAAATTCTACTTTTGCATTTGGTTAAGTTTAAATTCTGAGCTTACTTTTTGCTGCTTATTTATTTACTCGTATTTTTTCTTGAGAGATCATGGCATACAACATTGTATAAATTTAAGGTGCACAGCATGTTGATTTGATCCATTTATATACTGCAATATAATTACTACTGTAGCTAACACCTCTATCATGTACTTATTTCTTTTCTGTGGGTTGAGAACATTCAACACCCAGTGTCTCAGCGTTTTGAAGTGCATGGTGTAGTCTTGTTGATTGTAATCGCTATGCTGTGCATCCGATGTCCAGAACCTACCCATCTTCTAGGTGCACGTTTGTGCCCTTTAATGACACCCCCGCCCCCTCCTGAGCCCCTGGTGACCTTGCTCTCTGATTCTGCAGGTTCAGCTTTTTTAGATTTCACATGTAATTGACATCATATGCCATGTCTTTCTCTGCCTGCCTTACCTCACTAAGCATAAGGCGCTTTCTTTCGTTCCGTTTATTCTGAGAGGCCCTATGTTCTTTCCTCATTTTCTTGATCTTGTCGATTCTTTTCTTTTCAACATCAGCAGTCCCCTCTGTGCCGGGCCCTACCCTCGCGGCCCTGGGGAAATGAGTGAATGACCCTCGGTCCTGCCCATGGGGAGCTTTCGGTCACTGAGGGACTGTGGGAGCCCGGCCCAGGTCAGAGTTGCCGGCTGCGCGGCAGAGACGCCACGTAGGGGCCTTGCAGGAGAGGTTGGGAGCCAGAGGCGTGGGAGGCGAGGGCTCGGCCCCCAGCGGGCAGGGCTAGGCTGCCTTCAAGAGAGTGGAGGGGACACGGCCGATGTGCGTGGGCCGGCACCAGGCCGTGGAGCAGACTCTGCTTGGGGCGGCTTCACGCAGGAGCCTGACCTAGTAGAGCAGGGGCTTGCCTGGCCCCTGCAGGGAGCTCCAGGGCGTGGCTCTTCATTCTTGGGACCAGTGAATACCGCGTGACTGCCCCGTGTCTCCCATTGTTTCAGGAGCTCGTAACCCGGCAGCGAGCAGGATGTCATTGTGCCCGCTCTTAGGGGGCTTGGCATTTATCATCCTGGCTTTTATCGCGGGGCTCCAGGGAAGGAGAGAAAATTAATGCCCATATATACAGTGGCTATATATAAAATACATATATTATACATAACACCTATCTATAGCATGTTATTTATAACACTGTGTATCAGTGGCTATATATATTAAAGTTTCCTTAATATTCTAGCTTTCAGGGACTGTGACCAGCATATAAACAGATGCGCAGTGGCCTCGCACATTCCTGTCCCCTTACAGAACGTCTCTTTGTTCTTACAGGCGGCCTAGTTCCCCGCAGTCGGCCCCCCTGACACGTCTCAGCTCCCCTTTGGTTAGAATTCCTGTTATGTTGTCCGTTTGCCTGTGGCTGTCGCCGGGAGGCTCAGGCTTCCCCTCAGATAAATCCACCTGAGGAACCGCCATGCAGGAAATAGCACTTTTGCATGGCCACGGGGGGCGGGGCGGGGAGTACCCTGTGGAGCCAGGTAGACGCAGCGCATCGTTCGGTAATCATCTGAAATCGGCTCGTGTCTTCTTAAGAACGACCTGCTGGGAAGACAGAGGTTCTGTTCGGTCCTGTCAGGGCGGGGCGCAGGGCCTGAGAGAGCGCAGTGGGGGCACCTTACCTTCGGGGGCCGCTGGGTGAACTGCAGACGTGTTCGTGGCCCCGAAAAAATCTACAACTTACGAGTTGTCTTTTTTTCCCTCCTCTGGCCAGGAATCATACATCCTTTCTGCAGAACTCGGAGAAAAATGTGAAGCCATAGGCAAGAAGTTACTCTGCTTGGAAGATCAGCTTCACGTGGCGATCCAGAGCCATGACGAAGATCTCATTCATATCCTTTCTGTCTCGCAGGCTCAGCGCCTGCCAGGTTCTTTGTAACAGCAAGTCTTAAAAAAGTCCGCAGTGGTCCCGTGCCTCAGCACGGGGAAGCAGATCGATACTGCTGGTATTTCTAGGTCAGCACACCTCGGATCACTGCGATTATACAGTACGCAATGATTTCTCTCTCGTTTTTGGTAATTCAGCATTTTTGATTATTAAACCTGACCACTAAAAATCAGCTGTGACGTTTAGACACGCTCACAGTGAGACCAAAACAGACTGTGGTTTCCAGGGTGTGAGGCTGGGTTTGTGGGGCTCAGATGGCTATGAGTCTGACTAGCTCTGTTTTCTAGGGGGCTTTTTTATTACCCAGAAACCCAAATGCATGTTTGGTTTTCTTTCCCATAGAAGCCTGCCACGTGGCAGCGGGGGGGGGGGGTCACAACTAACAGGACTTTGGAGTATTTCTGTGCAGTTTCTTCTTGCACAGGGCGCAGTGTTCATACCAGCGGATACCTCCCTCAGAGTCAGCTGCCGGTGAGCAAGAAGGCGTGAGGACACACTGGCTTAGGCGTGCATCCGCGTGATGCCCTGTGTCCCGTGTGCATCTGCGGGTGCTGCCATTCTCTCGCTGGCCATTCTCTCTGAGGGCAGACGGAGGGAGCGCAGATGGGCAGAGGGTTATGCAGCCGCATCCTGGATCTTTTCAGTTATTTATTTAACCACAAATTGACACTGCAAATAAAAACACTCCTCTCTTCATTGATCCTATTCAATAGCAGGCCTTTTATGGGATGCATTTGTGGGGAATGTAGCTATTTTGGTCTTTGCTTCTCATTGCTATCTTACTCTTCGGAATTCCAGTTCTTACACTTTATCGAGAGAGAGAGAAACAGAGAGAGAGAGCGAGCGTGCGTGTGCGTGCGCGCGCGTAAGTAGCCTTTGATGCCAGGATTAATCTTATTCGTAAGTATTCAGAACCACATTTTAATGATGGATGCAACACTGTTTCCTTCCTCATTATACCCTTAAATCTTTGACCTTGGTTATTAAACTCAGCAGGAAATTCCTTCAACTTAATCAGCTTTTATTTTCACATTGTTCAAGGTAGATTTTATACGTAGACATTCTGTCCTTCATAATTTCCTACCACTTAAGACAACTAGTATTTAAGCTATTGGGAAGGCAGCCAAGAAGCAGGAGAAGAATTCTTACTTTGCATTTTTGTTTATGCCACGTTCATGGAACGCACAGATTGGAGCACTCACAAGGCGGCCTGGCCCCCAGCAGGTGGGACAAGTGACTGTCCGGCGGTGCCCCTGGGAGCGGCACATGCAGAAGACCAGTGTGGGTAGGGGCCTTCCTGGTGGGGACTTGGCTCAGTGGGACGCCCCCCAGGCTGGAGATGGAGGCAGGTGGCAGCTCTGAGACCCGCGGCCAGGGCCTGTGTCGGTCTCTCGTTTAGAAATTTTCTAGAAGGTTAGTTTGATCCCAAGGCATTAGATTTTCTCCTTAATCGGGGTGGGTGGCAGGGGAGAAGTCTGAGAGGGGACAGAACTGTGTGTCAACAAGTCCCTTTTAGTTTTCCCACAGCCAGTCCAATCAGATTCAGGTGTGGGAGGGTCACAGGCAGCTCATAGCCTCTTTGTTCATCAGCTTCCTCCTCTGTTACATCGCGCACCTCCGAGGCTTTCATGGGGGCCAGCTGAGGCTATGTTCAGAGAGGATGTTTAACACAGTTCTTGCACGTGGTAAGTGCCTGGTTTTAGGTAGACAACAATAATTCTGTGGAACACAAGTAACTATAAAACTTTGAAGCTATAAAAAGTATTTTATTGAAGTCGTGTCTTTCGAGAACTTTGCCGATCCTTGCTGAGATAACTGGGGACATCCTGGGGCCATGCCAGGCTGGGATTGGGACACACTGGTTTAGGTACTGAAGTCACCCCCTCCCCCTGAAATAAAATCTACACGACAGGCCACTTGCCTCACCGTCCTCACGTTTATGTCACAGACTCAAACCATATCCCATAAGAGGTTTCAAGGTGAATCGATCCAACTATTTTGTAATAAATGCTTAAAGGAATTGATCAGTAACCACACAAGGGCTCATATGAAAAGCCATTTAATTCTAATAAACTGCTGTAGATAGATAGGAATTATCTCTGCTGGATCGTTGAGAAAGCTGAGGCTTAGAAATGATGTGGCTGGTCCAAGGTCATTTCTAACCAGGGACAGAATCTTGCAGCAACAAGCCCTTGGCCCTACTTGGACCATGAGGAGACAGCTATGCCGACAAGTAAAGGCACAGGCCCATCCTGTGGAACACACAGGAACTATAAAACTTTGAAGCTATAATAAAAAACATTTTATTGAAGTTGTGTTTTTTGAGAATCTTGCCGATCCTTGCCGAGATAACTGGGGACACCCTGGGGCCATGTCACACCGTGGTCGGGACGCACTGGTTTAGGTACTGAAGTCAACCCCTCCCCCTCAAATAAAATCTACACCACAGGCGCATTTCAACCCTGACTCTTCTCGAAGGCCCACATTTGTTCTGTGTCACTGACTGAGAGTAAACACAGGGAAGGTAACTTCGAACTCGCAGAACGCGGCACTCTGATTGGAATGGAATGCGGTGTCTCAGGATAGGTATTTATAGAGTCTGCGGGGGCAGGCCTTGTTCAAATAGAACTATGTAGAGAGCCAGAGAGGCTGCTGAAACGCGCCACCAACCTGCATCGGGTTCTTGTTTCCGTTCTGGACCAGAGATACAAAGCTGAGTGCGCTTGAAAGAAACGCTTGCCATCAACAAGAAATAACTGCACAGTGAGGGCAGTATTTCTCTTTGATTCTATTAAGCGCTCTGTCAGATCCTCCAGGGCATATGATGTGGCATGAACGTGATCAGTGCAAGTCCACATGGATGTCCATGTCCAGAGGATTCCAGCCTGGGGTGCTAAGATGCCCCTTTTGCTGCTTCTGCACAGGCTGTGTGTGTGAGAAAGCTTCGTCCGCGTGGCATCCACAGAGCGGGGCAGGGAGTCGGCAGTGTGTGTGGGGGGCGGTCTCCACACAGACCCTGACTTCATATGGGGGCTGCAGGCAGTCTGCTGGGAGTGTCCAGGTCTCAGGAAGAAGACAGATCTGAGGAGTGGAGAAGGCCGTGTCTCTTCGTCACCCTGGCCGGCTCACTAAGTTACACGCAGCCTGGCCAAGGACCAGCACCAGCCCGTCAGCTACCGCGGCGGCGAGTGAGAGTCGGCACCGTTAATTGGAGGAGCTGGCGTCAGGGAGGTGACTCACGCCTGGTGTCTGAGGACAGGACCGGGAGGCGTGACAGTCAGATCTGATTTCTGGGAGCCTGAGGCTGAGTCTTTAGTACAATTTCAGTCATTTGGGGTCCTAACGAGCAGTTAGGTTTTGGGAAACACTGAGTGTTTGTGAAGGTTCCTCCGTGTCCCCATCGCTTTGACTGACACTGTGTAGGTTCAGTGGATTTGTAAGCAGGGGTTTTTCTCACTTTTTTGCCTTTGACTTCTGCAGCTCACTGTCAAAGGAAAGAAGCGCACTTAAGATTGGGCCGCTTCTGGAATATCTCAAGGCTCTCAGGGCAGTTCTGCCTGCCTTTGAGTCGTAGAGGAGAGAGGGACACCCTGCCTCTGTCTGCGGCCGCATTTACGGCCACGTCCCGGAGACGCTCCTGAAGCTCTGTTCTCTCTGCTTGTTTGGAATGCGCGGCAGCCAACCGATCCGTTTTGGTGGCGCTGGCTGGCTCGCCAGCACTCGGAGTACCTCCGCGAGCTTGTACTGGCATTGTGCCCCCGAAGCACCCGCGTTTGGTTTGGCATTCCAATGCGTAGCTTGACCGGACAAAGGTACCAGCCTGGGGCAGTTGCTCTGTTTCCTGGGGAGCGTTTTCAGCTTCTAGAGCTAAGGCTGGAAGAAGAACCACGAGGATCCTGGACCTCCACTTTCGAAGTTTATAGATCAGAAAACTGAGACCCCAGGAGGCTGCCGTTGAAGGCACCGTGTGTGCTGGGCTGAGGCAGGTCTGGTGGCTGCGGCCCTTTGGCTTGGCTCCCACCAAAGGGAGTGGCGGAGAAGAGGGAGCCTGGGTGAGGGGGCGCACATGCGGTCTTGGCACCAGGCGGGCACCGCAGAGGGTGCCCTGTACAAGCACCAAATCCATGCAGCAGCGGCCTGGTGGGGCAGGCTTCCCCCTTTGCTCTTGAGCAGCTGTGGCCCTCACCTTTCCGTGGAGGTAAATATCCCAGCACTGGCGGCCCCCGTGGTTGCCGAGGATTCATTACCGATGTGAAGGAGCAGTTTAGCCAATGGGAAGCAGCTTTGAAGGACGCACTGTTGTTTCTCTTTGAATCAAACAATCTCAGGTGATCTGAAGACCTCCGTTAGGCTCACCTGCTAAAACGATCTCTTGCCCACCCAACTGAAAGTACAACACTCGGTTGTTTTTATGTATAGGCAAAAGACCCCTTTGAAAGACTTTGAGGATCTTTTGCAAACGGCCGCCCTAAATGACACCGTTGCCTTATGGTTCTATTCCTGGGCGATTCCCGTGACACGTGTTTTGCTGTCTTATCCCTTTACTAGTTACGAACACAGTTTGTGCAACTTAATATCAAGAAGTTGCACACTTGCTTAATACGCGTGGCGTCTGCCCTGTGGTGGTGGAGGATGGTCTTGGGTTCCAAAGGTGTTGTGAAGATGTTGGCATGTCAGTCCTTGTGCCATATTGTAATTAATGTGCCATTTTTCTAAGATGCCTCAGGTCTCTGGTGGCATATCTGTTGCAGGGAACGTTATACTCAGCTGCAGAGGTTTCTGTGGCACAGTCGGCTCTTGGATGTAGTGCGTACACCTGGCGTTCTGATGTGGAGTTACTGTATTCGCTTGGCTCCTGGGCAAAAGTCAAGGTCAAATACGTCAATGGGCTTCAACCATGAGCTCATTGGAATAGCAGTTAGAAAGTCTGATCCTAGTCCTACTCTACTACTTAGTAGGCTTAAGATTTTGGTAAGATGTATCAAATGAGACACAGTGAGAACATGTTAGGAAAATATTTTTAAAAATATATCCTTCTATATAACCTGTAAGTGCCTTTCTGCAGCCTGGATCTCTCCCCAACCTCGGCTTCCTGTCTGCTTCCTGCTCAACATCACTTGGCTGACAAATAGCCTTTCCCAACTTGACACGTCCAAAATCCAATTCCTCCCCACACTCAGAAAACCCAACTCGTTCCCAGCCTTCTCCGTCTCGATAAATGGCAAGTGTGTTTTTCCAGGTCATGGCTTAGATTTAAAATCTGGGAATCGTTCTCGAGGCCGTTTCCTGCTCTCGCAGTGCATATCCAGTCCGTCGCCACGTGCTGCTGGCTCACACCTCAAAACACCCGGAGTCCGACCGCCTCTCACCTCACGCACCGCCGCTGCCTGGGCCCAGACGGTGGACTTTCTGTCCGAGTGATGGCGACAGCCCCTCAGCGCCCCGCTTTCGCCGGGGCCCTGCCCCCCTACCCGTGAAAGCTGCAGCGCGCTCCTCCCACCGGGCTCCGGCCTCCCGCGGCTCTCGCGCTGCGGCCCCTCCCCGCGCACGGCCGCGTTGCATGTCTTGGGCTCCCCTGGCGGGCACCGGAGCTCCACGATGGCAGGGACCTGGGGACTCCTGCGCTGCCCACATCCAGGTCCCTCTCAGCACACAGGAGGGACCCGGGAAATGTTCGACTGCTTGCAGGAGGGAGGGGAAGGACGAGGAGGCCTGTGCTTTCATTTCCCCAACGGCTTATGGCGAATGTTCCAAGCGGTTTCTTTTAGAGAGTCATTGACCTGACTGTGAGAAGACGCATGTCCGTGGTGAAGGTGACAAGCTTGAAAAAGAGGCTGCGTCTCCCTGCCAGGGTCAGTGCCTGCAAGTTCTCCGCTCGGTCTCTCTAAGGCGCTGCGCTGGCTCGAAACAACGTACATTTCTCTCTTTCTCTCTCTGGCAAAGTTAGGGTCTTTTCATACAAATTGTTCTGCAACTCCCTCCCTCAACCCATTTCACATTTCATCCTGTTTTCTCTTCCATTTCAGTGTATTTAAAATGTTTTGGAAATACAGGCAGGTTGGTTCTTTTGATCGTTTTGACGAGGATCGCCCCAGGGGCCCGCTGAAGGAGGCTTCTGGAAGTTCTGACGCCCAGCCCTGGTGAGAGCTGAAGGCGTTCGCTACTCGGCTACGTTAGTGAACTAACCTTGAACCTCCTGCTGCCTCGCAAAAGGCCCTGTGCTCACAAGAGAAAACTACTTCTTTGACGAAGGCGCAACACTGCAATTTTACCAGTGAGACGATTAAAGCGCTAAGTGGGCCGCTTCGCGGGAGCAGGCGGTCACGCCCTGGAATCCTCGCCTCCGGCCTCCTTTGCGGGTCCCTGGAGCGCTGTGTGAGGGGCAGTGACGTTTTAGTTGCCTGACTTAGTCTTCTTTTGTGGCTTGTCGTTTTAAAAACCCTTGCAACGTGTTCTGCCAGTGCCTGAGTTTGACGAGTTCTTCAAGAAGCATCTCATTTTGGTTCCGTTTCTCTCTCTCAAAACCTTTGTCATCGTTCAGCATATTGCCGATAGGGGCGTGTCGTCCCAGGGTGCGTATCGAAGGTAATTAACTCTAGGCGTTTGTCAGGATTCGTAAACTGCTTAAGCTCTGTGCGTACTCTTTATAAATGTAGCATAACTTTGTGATTAAATTGCAGCTTGGTGTTCAGTCTGGGACCACGTATGCTTTGGCTTGTATAAAGTCCTATGTGTTTTCACTAAGTAGTAGCGGAACTGTCCTGAGAAATGGAGGAAAATGAAGCTGTGAAAAAAATATCAGATTCTTTCCTCTGTGCACCCCCTGAACATTCCCCTCATTCCCCTCAAGTTCAAGTGCAAGGAGTGAGCCATCCTAGTAGATGTATGTAAATTACACAAATGAGGAAGTCTGGTGAAGCTCCAGAGGATGAAGCGCTGGCAAAAGCTTTTCAGGGTGGTTCAGCAATTTTGCTTAAGAGAGGTTCATTTGCATAATTCCCAGGATCCTCTGTTGTTTTTTTTAAGAGAAACCTTTGTACATCATAACCTAAGGTTGTCTTTTTTCTCTTGACATTGCCCCGACATTGTCCTTAAATAAAAACATTGTAGCAGAAACAGTCTGCTAGAGGCAGGATCTCTGCAAGCTCCTTTTTCCCAAGCTTTGTGTTTCCTCCTTATCTGATCTGGTGATGCTGAAATGGACTGACCTCATACGATGACTGACTTAGTGGTATTTAAATGGTAGCCAGATATTTCTGTGTCTCCCCTTTGTTCCTGTTGGATGAAGTTCGATTAGTTTGCTTGTTAAATTAGCAGAATCCAGCCCGACCCGTGCCCTGCGTTCACATTAGGGTCGTTCTGACAGCAGGTGCAACAGGAAAAAGCAGAGTGTCCTGAGGAACAGAGAGAAAAACCACCACTGGTTAGATGTTCCCCAGCTCAAACACCCGAAGACAGCCCATTTCTTAAGATAATAAGAGCCTTATTTATTTCACATAATTCTTTGCTAAGTTCTCGGTGATTGTTTTCTCTACCTGGGAAGCAACTCCGCACATTAGGAAGCTAAGAACCCAATGGTTTAAGAAAACAGACTAACCCAGATGAGGCAAGTTCCCTGCCCTCTGTCAAATTTCAAGTCCCTGAAGGGCTATTTTACAAGTACCTGAGAGTTTAATAACATATGGCAGCAGATTAGAAGCTAAAGGGGGTCAAAAGTCATTGTTTCATGCGAAAACTCAGGCTCAAAGTGATTTACACAAGGCCACAAGGCTGGCTGGTGGCCAACGGGGACCATCACTCATGACTCTGAGTGTGGACCTGTGGTGGCCCCAAATCCCGGATGTCTCGAGGAGGCTCTGGTGCCCAGCCTCTGGCCTTTGCGCTGTCAGAGCGCGTGGCTGTAACAGGGGCCTCGCCCCAGCGAGGGGCTCAGCAGGACTTACTGTCACACAGCCCATACATCACGGAGCAGCCCTGGGGGCCCTGTGTCTCAGTCCAAGGGCTGCCTCTTCTGTTTCCTCCTTGAAACCTCACTTGAGACATAACCGCAGGCCTTGTAGAAATTGCAATAACTCTTACAGGCAGTGTAAAATTTGTATTAATATTTAATTCCTACGGTTTGGGAGAATGTGAAGCTGCAAGCCGATGGCAGCGCCCATCCGCTTCCATCTGGGACTCAGGCCCCCGGGAGGCTGCAGAGGGCTGCTTGTCACCTGCGTGTCCCTTAACAGCGGTGCACAGTGTCTCAGGAGGGAGCTGCAGATGGTGAAGGAGACGCTGCAGGCCATGATCCCACAGCTCCAGCCGGCCAAGGAGGCGGGAGAGAAGGAGGCAGCGGTGGCTTCCTGTGCGACAGCTGGTGTCCGCGCCGCGCAGGCCTGAGGCGTGCGGGGAAGGGGAAGGAGGGTGAGTGACCATGTCTGCTCGCGAATGCTCAGGGGCCGCTCGCGCTTCCCAGCCTCGCCCGCGTGCCCAGGTCGGTGACCGAGACTCGGAGCCTCGCAGTCTCCCAGCTCAAAGGTGGCCCCGGCCCGCTCTCCTGGGGCTGAGACGGGGTCCGCAGGGCGAATGTGCAGGGGGGACCCCGGCTGCATCTCCTTCTAAGTGTCACTCAGAGGCACCTTTACCATGTCGATAATGGGAGCGCCCTGCCCAGGATTTGAAAATATTTTCTTCTCAATCCTCTTTAGACAAGTTGGGGTGAGTTGTCCTGGAAAATTGTCTCTTTTCCTGTACGACCGTGCTTTCCGCAGCAATTAAAATATCTCCTGATTTAAGAACCTATAAAAAGGAAACCAAACATAAATATATCTCCCACCTTACCTGTGCCATGGTCCACCAGGTGCATTATGGAAGGTGCTAATTAATCCCAGAATCAGGCATTAACAACTTTTCCCATTACTGCTCCTGTGATTCACTGCAATCTCAGAATTCATATGAAAAATTCCAAGAGATACCTCCCAGGTAAAAGCCTGCCTGTCAGGGATGTGCGGCATTTCCATTTTCCTTTGGCAGAGCCTGTCCCCTGACGTGCCATCGGGACATTCTGAAATGCTCCACCCGCGAGCGCAGGAAGCGATCAGGGAGCGGGAGTGGACCAGGCGACGCGTATGATCTTTGAGCCTCTCCTTCCTTCCTCCCGAGCCCGCTTCCTTCAGCGTCAAGACATTCGTGCGGAACCTTTCAGTGCAGGGCGGGGCTCAGCCAGGCAGCACGGTGCGCAGCTGAGCAGCGCGCTTCCCCGTAGGCAGCGCAGTGCTTGGCAGGACCCGGAGGATGCGCAGGGCGCACGAAGACAGCGTGGTGCCCGCTGAAACGGTGTGGTGCTCAGTGGCGACAGCGCAGCTCTCAGGCCGTGCAGGTGCTCACTAACACAGCGCGGTGCTCACCACTACACTGCTTACTGAGCTAGTGCAGCGCTACGAAGGCAGCGCAGGGCTCGGTTAGGGGGCATGAGAACCCCTCCCTGCTGAGGCAGCTGCACAGCAGGCGCAGTTCCGTTGGGCAGCACCTCCCGCGGTGCACGGGGGTTGGGGGTGGGGGGGCAGCCTCTCAGAGCTGCCCCACGAACGTGGAGACCCCTTTGGTTGAGGATGTTTGGGAAACGCGCTGTGCCATAATTTCTGAGCACATTGGCGCGTTGGTCTGTGAGCAGGCATAGGGAAGAGACGCCTCGATTTTGCCTAGCCCCATGCTTCCGAGTTTAATGGGTCGTAGAATTGTTTTCACTTGAATCCTAGCAGCCCACCACGCTGGTGCTGTGCAGCGCTCTCTGCAGGAGGCGTGGCCAAGTCCTGATTCACTCCGCTTGTAAATGCGTGTCTTAGAGACCGAACTCCGACTGTGGCAGAGAGATGACTTTCTGTGCTTGCCACAGTTCGGAGACCATCGACTCTTTGCCTTTGGAGCCCTTCTGTGCCTATGCTCACAAGATTTGCGATGCTCCTGCCTTCACGAAGACCCGTGGACGCGAGACAGCTTTTGTCATTTCCTACTGTCCTGCTGTCGTTTCCAGAAGGCAGCTGGCGCTTTGCTAGAGTCCCGCACGGCGCACTGCTCTGTCCCCAGTCTGGACACGCCCTGCGGATGCCAGCACTTGGCCAGCCTCCGGGGAACGAAGCAAATGCAGTCTCTGACTTCACTGATTGTGTTTCCTACAGTTTTCTCTTGAGTATTTCTGGAAATATTCTTATTTTAATAATAAGTAAAATTAATTTGTTCCAGGAATTCTTGGTTTTCCTGCGATGGACCAAATTCCTGGATTATTCATGATGACATCTAAAAATTATTAGTTACTAGTCACGTGGCACTCAGCATCCTCGAACCCTTGAATTAATTCCAGGAAACAAAACTTGGGAGAGTCCGGAAGGACCACAGTGCCAATAACAAATCCTTCCTTTGCCATGTGTTGTTTTAAAAAGCCCCCAGACATAAGACATCTTCCAAGTCACTAACTCAGGTGTTTTGCGTTATTCAAAACCATCCCGAACATTCCGTGAGGCCATGGCGTGTTTGAGGTGCCCTAGAGGCTAATCACTGCACTGAGTGGGCCCCGAATAAGGCCTCTCCCGCTGCCCCAGCAGCTAGTGTGTCCTTTTTCCAGCTGAGGTGCCTGACCACGAGAGAGAACCGGGCAGGCGAGTGCTGTCCCCGCCATTAGCTGAACTCCTCTGCTGTCTCTGCTGGTCTCGCGGCAGCCGGGAAGCCAGCTAGAGGCCACGGCCCCACGGCCTTTTCAGGACAAGTCCTCTCTCTGTGGCCGCTGTGCCTCTGGAAGACCCAGGACCGTGTATCCCGACCTATGATACAGGGGAGTTTTTGTCAGGGCGACATAAAAAGAAACTAGTGCTTGGATTGAAAAGCAACAAGAACAATAAAAGTTTAAGCTTTTGTAGAGACAGCCAGGACTACAAGTGAAAGTGCGGATTGAAAATGGTGGCTTAGAGTCTGATCTCACCGTTGCATGGTGTGAGAATGAGCAATATGTGCCACTGCGCACCAGGTGACATGCTGGCATTTCAACCGCTGCCCAGTTATCTTGCACCAGCCCGACTTCGGGCACGTTTCCAATCAGCAACAATCCCAGCTCTTGCCAGCTTCCTGAAACTGGTGTGGCTCAGTGTGTTGGGCAAGTCGACAAACCAAAAGGTTGCCGGCTCGATTCCCGGTCAGGACACGTTCTTGGGGGGGGGCCCGGTTGGGGGTGGACAAGAGGCAACGGATGGAGGTTCATTTTGCACATCCGTGTTTCTCTCCCTCTCCTTTCTCCTTCCCTCCTCCCTCTCTAAAAATAAGCAAAAAAAATTTTTTTTAAATGATCTTTCCCCAAACCAAATAGGTATGTAAGATTGGAAACTTTCCTTCCTCTGCAGTTACCCTGGTTTCCTCGCGCCCAGGAACAGGTACGGGCTCACAGGTGTGTACTGGGATTGTCCTAAGGCCTTTATAATCATTTCCTCCTCTAATTCTTAGGTCAACCTTAGGAGGTGGGTGCTTGTAGATGATGACCCTGCGCCTTAGGAGACCAATGGACTTCCTCCCAGACGCAGAGCTGGTCCGCAGCGGAGCAAGCGTTACAGCGACAGGAGGGATGCTCTCCACTGGTGCTCTTTAGTGTCTTTTCGGGACTGCGAGCCATGGAGCTTATTTGCTCACATAAAAGCACATGGTCACCTTGGGAGCCTGCCTCGGGAGTCGGAGAAACCGAGCCTGGGGAAACCAGGTGGGCCCCGCTGTTCTGTGGCCATGAAGTCTAGGCTCAGACAGGCTTCAACATGCCTACCTTCCCACCCCGTCCCAACCAGCCACTCATTCCGCATCCGCTGCAACAGCCGAGCCAGCGACAACCACTGCTGCCTGACACTGGGCAGGTTTTCTGGGAAATCCCCACCCATCTGGTGTTTTCCAGAAAGCATCTGAGAAAGCAACACTGTGCTCTTCGGTCAATGCCGGGTCTTGCATACACAATTTAATACTTTCATTTTGAATATCCTCACCTCACGTAATTTCTGGATTTTGTCATATAATTTATTTCTTCATGAAGTTGGCTTTTTGTTACATGAAATTAAAACTGATATCCAAGTCATGATGCACCTTTAATATTTTTTCCTTTTTTTTTTTTTTGTCTTCTGGAGGATAATAGAAAAAGTTTGTCAGGTATATTCATCTCATCTTTTTGTTTCATTGTACAGTAACTTATATCACACAAAACATCTCTAATAAAGCAATGCTTTAAAATGGAGTATGTGTTTACTTTCAGATATCAACCAATCAGAAAATAATGTAATTTTCTCTTCTAGACCCCTTGTTTGAGGAGATTGAAAATAACACTACCAATTATGTGGGGAAAAGCCAAGCCAAAGGTGCCCACTAACACTGCTGGAAATATTCTACTGGAGGTACTGGCTAAATCAGGCAAGAAAATAAATGAAGGTTAAATTTGGAAAGGAGGAGATATATTAATATTTACAGGTGGCATAACTGGAGGCTAGAAAGTGTGAGAGAATTAACAGAAGTTTTTTTTTACACATTTAACACAATCAGTATATGAAAATCAATAGGTTTTATATGCAGAAAAAATAACCAGTAGATAAAATGTAAGAAAATGCTCTTTTAAATAACAAAAATAAAAAGCAAAAACTAGAAATAAGATTAAATTAAAAATGTTTAAGTCTTAGATGAGGAATATTTTAAGATAAAGGACACCAGAGAAGAGTTTAATAAAATAGAAGGACATTAGATGTTTGGATAGGAAGTCATCGATTAATTGTCAAATCTCTGTAAATTGGTTTATAAATAGGGCTCGATCCCAGCTGAGTCACAGATGTCTAGATATATCCAATAACCTTTCCCTGCTTCCTTCCTCTGGCGATTCCTCATCTCGGTACGTAAACCACAGATGCACTCACGCACGTGCAGAATTGCAGGTGTGCGTTGTTCTGTTAAGTTAATTAAACAAGGGAGCCATTAGACTGAGGTGGCTCTAATGCCAGGGAGGCTGATGGAAGCAAAGCAAAACCTGAGCCTAAAAATGCCTACAACTATATGAAATCGAAGCCTAAGGACAACCAGTCACAGACAGCCAACCGGACTTAGAGCCGCAGCCAGCCAATCATTTCCTTGCTTTGCTTCTGCCTTTTCTCTAGGAACATCTCTCCCCAGCCCCTGTCAGTGGGCCACTCCTAACCACTTCCGGTTTGGCACTGCCCCGTTTGAACTGATTTTTGCTCACATCAGCTCTTAAAACGTTTAGCATGCCTCAGTTTATTCTTTAACAGTGCCGTTGTTTGCAAGAGCAAAATGGGAATCAGCCTGACTTTTCTCCAATAGCAGACTGTCAGGATACATTTATGCCGTGGGGTGCTTTTTTTAAAAAAAATTATTTTTTAAAATTTATTTATTTCTAGAGGGTGGGGAGAAAGAGAGGGAAACAGCAATGTGTGGTTGCCTCTCGAGTGCCCCCTCCTGGGGACCTGGCCCACAGCCCAGGCGTGTGCCCTGGCTGGGAATTGAGCCAGCGACTCTTCGGTTAGGAGGGCGGTGCTCAATCCGCTGAGCCACACCAGCCAGGGCTGGGATGCTTTGAAGTTGCTAAAGCATCTTTCCCTCCACATGTGCCGGTGCCTGCAGAGATGTGACTGGAAAGGGACCCAGGTGATTACAGGAGAGGAGGTGGCCGGGAGACTCACTGTTTCCGTATACCCTTCCTCTTCTAAAAATTTGGTATCAAGTACTTCTATTTACTTATTCAAAAAATAACATAAATTAACTTCTTTAAGCGAAAGCCATCATCATGGACACTGGGAGGAGAGCGGGGCAGAGGCCCAGGTCTCCCGGATGCCCAGGCAGCAGTCACTCCCTCTTCAGCAGCCACTATGCACCCAGCACGGCGCTGGGCTCACAGCGTCCTGGCAGCTAGGACGTATGAAGATCCAATGACTTGAAGGAAACTAATTACCGTTGTCGTTGTAATTATTGTTTCAAAGACATTTCTTAAACAACTGTGTTTGGTAGTTTAGTACCAAAATCAGCCCTCCTGGGAGTCCTAGTTCCGGTCCCGGTGAGGGTGTTTGGCGAAGCCCCCTTCCTTTGAACGCTAGGACAAGGGAACTCCTGGGTTGGTTGTGTGGGCAGAGTGGGGAGTGGGGCAATGGAGTCGCATCTGCCATGTATTCAGTTAAGTACGCTTTTAAGTGTACGTGTCACACACATTTTTACACTTTAGATAGAAGGTTATAACAGACAGCGGCGTGAGGGCAATGGGAAGGTGGCTTTGCCTCCCTCGTTATCACTGTGACCTGAAAGAACTTTTTGACATTACTGTCCCTTTTTCAAGAGTTTGAAAAGTGTCTGAAACAAAGCTCCGGTCCATCAGCAGGCATGAGCCCTCCCCGTTGTCTATTTGTTCATTCAGTTAAACATTTATGGAAGTCCTCCTATAAAAACTGCTCTTCCTATAGACAGATGAATTTGTGAGCACAGAGGTTAAAGAGCTTAGTGACCATCATCTGGCAAGTAATGAAAATGATACATTATTAGACAATGTCCACACATACACATGCACATATGGACACCCAGACACACACAGACCCACAACGGCAGTTCAGCTAATGCTGACCAACAGTTATTTATGATTTTGTGTTCCCGGTACAATTTTTACTTGGAAGAACAACATTTCAAAGGAAATTTATGGGAACATTCATCTAGAACCCACTATCTGAATTTTTCCAGCCTTTGACCATACGAAAACATAAACTGTAGCCAGCATGTTTTTATTCTGCTATTTACGTTTAATATGTGTTATTTTCCACTTTGCAATGTAATCATTATAATCATTGTATTTATTGCTGCATAATATTTACTCTACCAAATTGATCTACCATAACTCAGATATTCCTCTATAACTGGGTGTTAAATCTGTGCAGTGTTTTGCCGTTATAGATAAAGCTGCAATGACACGTGTGTGCATACAGCTTTTTCTTTCTCTGAATTACGTCTCCAGGAGGTATTCCCAGGAGTGGGGAGACCACACCAAAAGGTAAGACACGGTGCCGCAGTTGAAATGAATCTCGTATTAGGGAGAGAACGGGAGAGAATAACGAGCTCATTCCTCTGTGGGGAGGGGATTCCCCACCAGGTATCGATGGGCCTGATTGATCGTGTGGCGTTCTCCTCCCGCCGTGAATGCATCTACAATAACCGCATCGGGAGAGTCACAGTGGGGCCGTTCCTGCCATTCAACGTGAGCAGTGTCGGTGGAGCAGGCACGTTCCTGTGATCTCCGTCGCCAGTGCCCTTGGTCTGTGCCCTTGCTGTTTTGTCTCCAGATAAAGGATGTGAGCCACGCAGATCCAGGGTTCAAAGACCAAAGATCTAGACTGAAGTCGCTCTGCTTGCAAGCCTTGTGACCCTAGGCTGACCGCTTGTCTTCCTGATCCTCGAACGCCTGTAAAACAAACTCAATAATAATAAAGCCTGCCTCTCCGGATTGTGGAAGAACTCAAAGAGGTCAGAGTATATGAAAGGCTTCTAAAAAATAAAGCAACATATACAGGGACTTAAAATTGTATAGGGAGTTTAGGGAGTGAAGAGAATCAACCTCGGGGAATGAAACCCAGCCCAGACCACTGTGCCATCCCAAAAGGAACACCTCCTGGGCTGTACTTGGCAATGGCTGTTGTTAGTATATATAAAAAAAGTGTTCCCAATCTGTGGTTTAGTCCACCCTCTTCCCCCAAATTCCATGGTGGTCTCAGACATGCAGGAGAACAGGAAAGGTGGAAGTCGAAAGCACTTTAGATAACTTGCATTTCATCCCCTCAGCCAGTAGAGCCAAGGGGTAAATACCCATAAACACCCAAGGGTTTTCTACTGCATCCTCGCCAAGTGCAGAATTGCACGCCCACCCGAGCTTGGCTTGGGATGACCGTGAGCCGACCAGGCCCTGCAGGTTGGTCCCCAGCCTGTTTCACAGCCTTAGCCCCTAGGCAAGGTCTCAGACCCTGACTTTTGGTCTCCTTCCCCAAGGTGCTTTCCAACATTTTTTAACTGAAATATATTGGACATACGACACTGTAAATTTAAGGTGTGTATGCTAATTTGATAGGTTTATATGGTGTACTATGATAGCTATTGCAGTGATAATTAGCACTTCTGTCAGTGGCTGGAACCTTTAGGCTCTAATCTCTTAGCAAGTCTGACGATTATAATATATTGTCATAGTCTGTATTCTGTCACTAGAGCTCTAGGACTTAGTTACTACTCCTTGCAAGTTTGTACCCTTACACATGTCCCAGCAGTGCCCTTCAATGCTTGTCCCCTTGATTTACCATTGTTCCTCACCTCCATCCAACTTCAATAACCTATTTCCCTAATTTTTACCAATACTCCCTGCTTGGGGCTATTATTGTTTAAGTCTCTCTCCCCCCTCATTTATTTGCATTTCCTCTCTAGAGGAGAAAGAAAAGAGGCAATTCCTGATCAATTGAGAGCTCCAGGGTGAAATCGTTGTGCTTCTAAAGTACCCTCCTAATTTGCATACATTGAGGCCAGGCTGGGACTGGGCTTTCTGGGTATCATCTCCACGTTCAGTGGGGGATCCAGCTCCTAGCACACCTGGAACAACCACAGGGCAGGGGAGCTGGACACAGAGACTTCTCTGCTTCCCTGAGAGCCTTCAGTAAATAAAAATCTCAGCCACAGCTTTTCTTCATGGGGATGAAAGAGCCTGGTGCTGCGTCGGCCTGGGGAGCTCCATTCATTGCAAGTAGGATGAGTAGGAACTCGTTGACAGAGGAACACGAGCAGAACTGGAGCGGCGTGGGCAGTACATGCTGT